TGTTTTGGCAAGTATGCATCGAGTTGCTATTTAAACACCTGTACAGTCTCTGATAAAACTACTTTTTCAGGCAGAGAATTCCACATCTTTGTTATTCTTACTTAAAAAATTTGTTAACCTTTCTTCATAACTAAAATGTTCCATTCTTTTTATTACTTTGTAGCCTCTACACTTTTTCTAGTGCCATTATATCCTTTCTTTAGAACAGGTGCATAGAATTGCACAGCATATTCAAGATGTGGTCTTACCAGTGATTTATAAAGAGGCAAAATTATTCACATACCGAGAATTATGGCTCTTTTTATGACTATAACTTACTGGACTTAGCTATTGCTGATTGATGTTGCACGTTGTTGCCTTGTTTATAACAATTCCCAAATCCTTCACTTGTATTGTTATCCTTAATTCACTACCATTTAGGGTATAAGTTACTTGTGATACTTTACCTCATAGTTGCATAAGTTTGCATTTTTCTGCACAAATCCCTTAGTGACCAGACCGTTCTCAATTTTCTTACCATTAAGGACCAGGGCTGTTTTTACATTTCTGCGGTGTTTGTGTTTAGCTGTAATTTCCGTCTTACTCATTTACTGCACACACACATATTATGTGCTGTTTTTCTCGCCATTAAATGGTCTTTCTAAATATACCATTATTTTCATCATATTATATAATTTACTATAAAAAAATTCTAAATTTTTTTTTTAAAGTAGACAACCCAGGGTATTCAATATGGGGTATGTCCAGTCTTTTTTTAATAGCTACTTACCGTATATACTCGAGTATAAGCCGAGTTTTTCGGCACATTTTTTGTGCTGAAAAAACCCAACTCGGCTTGTACTTTGTGTCAGTCTGTATTGTGGCAACTTACATTGCCACAATACAGACCAGGACCGCCGTGCTCATTACAAGCCCGGCGGTTCTTTTGGGGGCTGACAGCGAGCTGTTACTTACCTTCCTGCAGCTCCTGTCAGCTCCCTCCTCCTCCGTGCAGCTCCTCTGTCAGCTCCGTTCTTCTTCCAGTGTAAATCTTGCGAGAGCCGCGGGTCTCGCGAGACTTACACTGTAAACAGAATTCAGCTGACCGGGGAGCTACACGGAGGAGGAGGGAGCTGACAGGAGCTGCAGGAAGGTAAGTAACAGCTC